TAATCTTTTATTCATTTTAAACAGTTCTCTCCCTCATGTGTTTCAATGCAGTACACATTATTTATCCCCTCTTTTCTTAGATGCACTCTTTTATTGTTGCTAATTCCTTTGTTCCATCTGCTTTTCAGTCAATGTTTGAACCACTTATTTATGTTTTCCTTATAAACTCAGAGTTTCAGAATTATCATCCCTGTCTATTATCTTTGTTTTCTGGTCTCTGCATTGAAAAGAGTCTGAGATGGTGTCAGTCTAGTCTGCCATTTTACCTGAAACCTTTCCCAATTCTAGTTTGATTTACATTACTATGCTGACTAATAATGTTTGGTATCTTTTCATATGCTTATTGGCTTATTTTGGAAGCAGGAGTGGCATCCACTTCCTAAACAACTTACCTCTGGAAACTCTATGAACTTTGATAAATGTCAGTAGTTGTAGAGGGGCTTCAGGCCTTTTGTTCATAGGGTTGCTATGAGTCATGCTTGACTTGAAGGCAATCAACAACAACATTGCTTATTATGTACTTTCTTTGTGGAAATATCTATTTATGTACTTTTCAAATTCTAATTGGGTTATGTATCTTTCACAATTGAGTTACAAGAGTAATTTCTATATTCTGGATACTGATAAGTGTATGCAGACAATGCTGTATGACTTACATGTTCCTCGATTTTCGTAGAGTTAAATGGAAACACTTGATCTTTTAGATTGGAAGTGGGAGTGGCATCCACTTCCTAAACAACATGCCTCTGGAAACTCTATGAACTTGGAGAAATGTTGATAGTTATAGAAAGGCTTCAGGCCTTTTGTTCATAGGGTCGCTATGAGTTGTGTTTAACTCGAAGGCAATCAACAACAACAACACATCGTTATTAGTAGTTTTAGTATTTTAAACTATTTTCTCCCATTCTGTAGGTTTTCATTACACTTTTGATTGTTTTAAAGTATATACAACACTTGTCAATTCAACATATACAATTTAATGATAACGATTATGTTATTCTTATTATGTCACTAAATTTCCCATCACTATAAAGAGAAACTAAATGTTTCCTAAAAATAACTCCCACCTTTGCACTCTCCCCCAATCACTAATGGCTTTTGTCTCCATTCATTTGCTTATTCTAGATCTTTTATATAAATTAGATTATATAATATTTGCCTCTTCTTATTGACTTAATTCTTTCAGCATAATATTTTCAAGGTTTATATATGTTGTAGGTAATCAGGGCTTCATTTCTCTTTATGATTGAGTAATATTCCATGATATGGCCATATCATGTCTTATTTATCTGTTTAACTGTTGATGAACACATAATTTGTTTCTGCCCTTTGGCTATTGCAAATAATGCAGCAATGAACATTTTCTTTTAAAAAAAAATTTACATTTTTTATTACACTTCAATTTTTTTTAGATTCACAGTTGCACATTTTCTACCCTCCTCTCCCAGCCTACTCCACAGTGCACCCTGTCTTCCAGATTGTTTTTATATGTATAATGCCTAATCATATGTTCCTTTTGAGCAGTTCTTCCCTTCATCTGTTCCAATGCGGTATTCATTATATATCCACTCTTTTTCCATTCCCTCCCTAACTCCTGTCCCCATCTGTCCTATTTTATAACAACAGTGTTATGCAGTATTTGTTCTTTTGTTATTGAGATATTTCACTCAGCCTAATATCCTCCAGGCTCCCCCATGTTGTGTAATATTTTACAAGTTCAGTGTCTTACAATGCTGCATAATTTTCCATTGTGGGAGTGTACCATAGTTTTCTATCCATTCATTTGTTGACGGGCACTTGGATTGCTTCCATCTCTTTGCTGTTGAATAATGTAGCAATAAAAATGGCTGTTCATACATCTGTTTAAGTCACAGCTCTGGTTTCTTTAGGGTATATTTCCAACAGTGAAATTTCTGGGTCAAATGGTATTTCAATTTTTAACTTTTTGAGAAAGCAAATAAACATTTTCTTTATACTGACCTTTGATGCAAACAAAAATTTTACTTTAATGACGTCTAATTTATCTCTTTTTCTTTCATTTCTTGTGCTTTAGGTATCGTATTTAAGAATTCTTTGCATAGAAAAAGAACTGTTGTTCTAAGAACTAGTAAAAATATATTTGAGGATCCAAGGGGGAGAGAGGAGGAGCAGAAGGATGAGGATGGGCAGGAGGGAAGTCATACAGTCGCACAATTTGATGAGTTTGAGGAGAGGGGGTGAAAGAAATAGGAAAGATCTGGTGGGGATCTGGAGAGACAGGATAATGGTGAGCATAGTTCAATGATGATGAATTTTATAAAATCTCATTAATAGGAATGATTGTATGAAACACAATGTAAATGAAGTATATAGTATGAAGTACAATGTATATGAACTTTGTAAGCAAACTAATATAAAATAAAATTTAAAAAATTAATGATTTGCAGAAGCAAATCCCTAAAATGTATGCCTATATTTTCTTCTAAGGGTTTTGTAGTTTTTGTTTATGTATTTTGTCCACTGAGTTAATTTTTATGTATTGTTGCTGTGTACTGTTGAGCTGGAATCAACCCATTGCTTATCCTCCAGTGAGTTTTTAGAGACAGTAAATTTTATGGGAGGAGATTGTCCATACTTCTGTGGAGCAGCTGGTGAATGCAAACTGTGTGCATTTGGAATTGCAGTGCAGTTTCTTACCACTAGGCCACCAGAGCTTCCTAATTTTTATACAGTGTGTGATAAAAGTACAACTTTATCTTTTTATATGTAGAAATATAACTATCTCAGCACAATTTATTGACTGATGAGATTATTCTTTCCCTCACTGAATAGCATTGGCATTACTTTCAATAACAAAAATCAATTAAACACAGATATATAGGTTTATTTTAATAACTTTAACTATTCCTTTGGTTTATGTCTATTCTTATATTACTACCCTGACTTCATTAATTGTTTTTTTCCAGTATGTTTTGACATTAAAATATATGAGTCCTAAAACTTTGTTCTTCTTTTAAAGATTATTTTGTCTGCTTTGGTCCCTTGCTTTTTCCTATTAAGTTTATGGTCACCTACCTTGTCTATTTATTGGAAGAGAGGAGAATAAGATGAAATTCCAATAGAGATTGGATTAAACTGCAGCTCAATTTGTGGAGTAATTCCATTTTTATAATGTTTAGTCTCCCAATCCATGAACATGGGATGTCTTTCCATTTATTTAGATCTTCTTTAAGTTTTTAGTTTTTTAAAAAGATTTCTGAGTGTATGTTTCATACTTCTTTTGCTAAATTTATTAAGTATTTGTTGTGTTGTAAATGGAATTGTTTTCTTAATTTCCTTTTTGTCATTATTTACTGCTGGTATACAACTGATATTAAATGTTAATTTTCTATCCTGATATTTTATTAATTTTTTTTAGTTCTCTCTCTCTCTCTCTGTCTCTCTGTGTGTGTGTATGTGTGTGTAAGAGAGAGAGAGAGAGAGAGAGAGCGCATGAACGCACGTGCACAAGTATTCTTGAGGGTTTTCTAGTGAAATGATTTTTAGCATATTCAAATTGAAACCGTTTTACTTCTTCCTCTTCAATATGAATACCTTTTGATGCTACTACTGCTGTCTCTGGCTAGAATACCCAGTGGAATAATACAGACCAGAAGTGTGGTGACTCAACAACATCCAAGTGTTGCTTCTGATCTTGGAAGAAAAGCATCACCTGCTGTAGTACGGTGAGAAGTTATCTTCTATTTTTAGTCTGTTTTATTTACCATAAAATGTTTTTTCTGAGATCTCATGGGTATCTGAAAAGACATGGTAATAGTAGACATTGTTCAATAGTGGTTAATTTTATAAAACATAATGAAAGAGGATGATTGTATGAAACACAATGTGAATGAAGACTAGTTTGAAACAGTGTACATAAACTTTGTATGCAAACCAATATAAAATAAATATTTTTAGAAATGTTTTTCTGCATCTATCAAAATGATCTTGTATTTTAAATTGTTTATTCATTGACATGGCATAATAATGTTTGTATGTTAAGCTAATGTTGCATTTGGATGTTAAATCCTACTTGAAAAAAATATATATTTTACATATATATGGATTTGATTGACCAGTATTTGTTGAGAATATTTGCATCTATAAGTCTGTGGCTTTTTAAAAATTATTGTGATGTGTTTACAAGATAATGTAGCTAAATTTTTAAAAAGTAAAATCTATTCCCATTTATCCAAAGGAGTCTTTTGTGCTTGTGGCCTTTTATTTATTTCTAACTTTCTCCTGCTTTATTGTAGCAGATAATTGTCATTAACCTGGCTCTATTCTCAATTACAATGTGTTTCCACTTGACTTTAGCAAGCTTGGAGGGTAAATCTTAAAAGCTGGACAGATGTATCAATAGAACCTGTGTGAAAGAGGAAGAGACATGGTAGATAAGGTGTTTCAGCAGCTGGTATTTTAAATCAAATAAAAATGAAAACATCAGAAATAAACTGGCATATAAAAGGTCCTTGTAACTCTCACTATAATAATAGAAAGGATTGGCGTTTTCCCTTCCATTTCTCTGGTTTACCACCATTGAATTTTACACTTTAAATATGTGGATTATGTGGTATATGAGTTATATCTTGAAAAAGTTGTTAGATAAAAAATATATGTGCTCATTACATTAAAAATATCAAAGTTGTACAGAAGTTTATGAGTAGAAGTTAAACCTCCATCCTGTTCTCAATGACACTTCTTAAAGGTATACACTAATAATTTGGTGCATATCCTTTTAGACTTTTTGTCTATGAACATGAGCATTTATATTTGTGATATTTGTATATATGTTAAATGGGAAAATACTATACCTTTTCTTATTTTCACTTTAATTTCATAGACATTTTTCTATATCAGCACATGTGCATTCCTGTCCTTCCTCTGAGGTATCTATGCGAGGCTATAATACACATGTGTGTATATGTTTGATTCCTATGATCTTTGATCTGCATTTTAAAAGATCTTTCCTTCTTATCTAGGCCCAAGGATACTAAACGGACTAAAACCACATCCCGTGAAAGTATCTTCCATTTGGAGCCTGAATCTGAAAAATCATCAAGTAAAACGAGCTCCTCTCCAGATAGCCAGAGAAGTGGATCTCAGCAGGTAATAGCAATGCAAGCATTGGTGCTTAATTGCTTTATATTCTTAATTATTCTCTCCTCTCACTCTACCAAAAGAAAGAGGGAAGAACCTAGCCCTGTTTCTCAACTAATTCTACCTCATGATGTTGATCAAAGTATTGAATGAGGGAGTGTGTGTGTGTGTGTGTGTACACACACATACACACACATATTGGAAGTAGGAGTGGCATCTAAACAACACGCCTTTGGAAAGTCTATGAACTTTGAAAAACAATTATAGTTATAGAAAGGCTTCAGGTCTTTTGTTTATAGGGTTGCTATGAGTTGTGCTCAACTCAACAGAAATCAACAACACAAGTGTGTGTGTGTGTGTGTGTGTGTGTCTTGTGCTTAGTGCATGGTGCACAAGACATACTCAATAATGAGTGTTGGCCAGTATTATCACTATTCACTTTTCTTATCACATCCCAAGAATAGCTATTCGGGCTATTACATTCCACTATTAAGGTATAGTCATCTCTACTACCAATCTGTTTTCTGTCTTCCACAGAAAGTTCATGTTTCTAGAACCCTTGCTTGGGATTGGTCTTAGTCATTTGTCTGGAATGTTGTCTGAAATTGTGTTTAGAGGTTTGTCTCAATAAGTGATTAGATTCTGAAAGAATAAAGTAAAATTGTTCAGAGCATCAGTAACTGGGTCAGATAAATCTGTTCTTGAGTTCTTGTTGTGCTACATAATGGTTGTGTGCCCAGGCTAGTTTCTTAACCAGCCTCTCTGAGTCTTCCTTGCCTCAGTGTGGATTCAAACCCTATTAAAACAAGGTTTTATATATTGTTTATCGGGTTGTTAAGAGTCATATTTGACTTGATAGCACCTAATGACAACAGTAATAACAAGTATATCAAACAATATCATTAATATCACAAACAAGTAAAATCTTGCTGAAGATTATATCAAAACATGGCAGCGACAATACAAGTGGGAACTGCCAGAAAATAAGAGTGGTGAGAAGAGTGATATAATTGCTGATGTCATGGCTGAAAGCAGAGAATACCAGAAAGAAAACAACAAACAAATGGTTACTTGTGTTTTTTTTTTAATTATGCAAAAGCATTTTACTGTATAGACCATAACAAAACATGGATTATGTTTAAAAGACTAAGAATCCCCCAAACGTGACTGTACTTATGGGAAACCTATACCTAGACCAACAAGCAGTTGTTTGAACAGAACAAGGAATCATGGCATGGTTTAAAATCAAAGGTGTATGTCAATATTGTGCCCTTTCTCCATACCTATTCAATCTGTGTTCTGAGTAAATCATTAGAGAAGCTGGACATTATGAAGAGTAATGTGGCATCAGAGATAGAGGAAGACTCACAATCTTGTTTGCAGAAAGTGAAGCAGACTTGAAGCACTTACTACAGAAAGTAATAACTACAGCCTTCAATATAAGTTATATCTCAGCATCAAGGAAACAAACATCATCACCACTGGACAAATACATATCATGAAAGATGGAGAAAAGATTGAAGTTGTCAACCATTTCCTTTTTACTTGAGTCCACAATCAACATCCATGGAAGAGCAGTCAAGAAACCAAAAGATGTGTTGCATTGAGGAAATATGCTGTCAAAGACCTCTCCAAAATTCTAAAGATGAAGGGTGTTAGTTTAAATATTAAGGTACACTTGATCCAGGCCATGATTCTTTCAATTGCTTCTTATGCATCTGAAAATTGGACCATACATAAGGACAAAAGATAAAGAACTGATGCCACTACATTGTTGTGTTGTCAAAGAGTATTGATAATGCCATGGACTTCCAAAAGAACAAACAAATCTATCTTGAAGGAAATGAAACTAAAACATTCCTTAGAGGCAAGGAAAGTGAGACTATATCTCATTCACTTTGGGTATATTTTCAGTAGGGAGAAGTCTTTGGAGAGAGACACCAAGCTTGGAAAGGTAGAGAGTCAGCAAAAGAGAGGAAGATCTTCAACAAAATTACTTGATACAGTGACTACCAAAATGGGCTTGAACGAGACAGACATCATGACAATGGTCAGGATAGGGCAAGGTTTAGATCTATTCAAAGCATTGCTATGACTCATAGTCAATTTAATGACACCTATTGGGCATGGCGTCAGGAAGAACCAGTTGTTGGAGAAGGACATGAAGCTTGGAAGAAGGATGGAGAGTCAGCACAGAAAAGGAAGACACTAGATGAGATGGATTGACACACTGCCTGTGGCAATGGGGTCAGGTGTATCTGAGACAGTGATGTTGTCCCAGGATAGAACAAGGTTCAGAGCCATTGTTCACAAGGTCACTATAAGTCAGTTGACTTAATGGCACATAACAACAACACTTCACAGGAAAAAGATGGGCAACCTCATCCCATGTCATTTACTGCTTCTGAAATCCTGCTGGAGGGTCAGCCATGGGTAGATTCCAACTTGATGGTATACATCATCATCAGTCATCAACAGCAGCAACAGGAAATACCAATAATTGATTTCCCTCTCTCTGGAACAAAGATAGAAAAGCAAAGAAGTACTGAAACAATTGAACCAAAGGACTAACCTCACTCACTGCCCTTGAGCCAGAATTGACTCATAGCTGACCTTCCATTGGATTTGGGAAGCTGTTAAAAAAATGACCCTATAGAGTGCAGAAATTATTGAACAATATCATTACTGTTACATGCAAACAAGATCCTGATGAAAATTATCCAAAAATGATTGGAATAGCACACCAACAGAGAACTGCCAGGTGTGCAGGCTGGGTTTAGAAGAGGCTGTGGTATTAGGGATATTACAGTTAATGTTATATGGATCTTGGCTGAAAGCAGAGAGTTCCAGAGGAATATCTATCTATGTTTCATTGACTATACAAAGGCATTTCACTGTGTGGATCACAACAAACTGTGGCTAACTCTGAGAAGAATGGGAAACCCAGAATACCTGATTGTGCTTACATGAGGCCCATACTTGGACCAGGAAGCAGTCCTTAGAACAGAGCAAGGAAACACTGCATGGTTCAAAATCAGGAAAGGTGTATGACAGGGGTACATCCTATCTTTATACATGTTCAGTCTATATGTGGAACAGATAATCTGGGAGGTTGGGCTCTACAAGAAGGAATGTAGCATTAGGACTGGAGGAAGACTCATAAGCAGCCTCATTATGGAGATGACACAACCTTGCTTGCTGAAACTGAGGAGGAACTGAAGCATTTGGTGCAGAAGGTCAAGGACTGCAGTCTTCAATATGAATTGAAGCTCAACATCAAGAAAACAAAGATTCTCATCACTGGGTCAATTGGCAGCATCGTGATAGACAATGAAGAGGTTGAGATTGTTAATAGCTTCACCTTGGTTGGCTCCACAATAAAAACTCTTGGTACTAGCAGCCAGGAAATCAAAAGATGAACTGTGGAGCCAAACTCAGAGAGCGAGCCAAGCGCAGAGAGCAAGCCAAGGACAGATGGAATTTGAGTGAGAAATATTATTACAATAATTAGTTTGGAAGCCTCAGCGGGGATCAGTGAGCCTCAGCGTGGAGCAGTGTGCCTCAGCGTGGAGCAGTGTGCCTTGGCAGGGAGCAGTGAGTCGCAGTAAGACCCAGCCACTAGGAGCCAGTAGGACAGTGGGAATTTGAGTGAGATACTTAGGGGAGAGACCACTGTTGATTGCTGGACCAATTGTGGGACCTCTTCACTTTAAGCAGGAGGGAGTGAAATTGCTGGAGCACGACTGGGGTGACAGACCCAGTTCTTGAAGGGAAAATTAAGGCTTCCTGGTTTTCCATTCAAGTCCCCCCCAAACCCTGGCTGCATGGGTCTGCATGCATATCCCCCCCCCAGCCCTCTCATGCGTTTGTGCTAGCACCGACCCTATGTGCATCCATGCATGTGCCCATCTTACATGCATCTATGTGTGCACACCTGCTCAAACTTCTTCTGGAGCAGTGACATCAGATCAAGAACCGCCTATCACCTCAGGCATGAAAAACTACAACAGCAATGTCACAAAAGAAGCAGACTACCTCATTTCCTACACAAGCGCAAAGCAAGATATCACCCCCCCCCCAAATAACACAGTATCAATGAATTTCCTGAAGCCAAAAAGTCTGATGGAACTTTCTGACACAGAATTTAAAAGAGCAATGATTGAATCTTTTCAATGGGTGAAAGACAAACTTGAAGAATTAAAGGACACTGCAAGCAAAAACCAGGAGGAGCTTAAAAAAAAATCCAAAACAATGCAGATAAAACAAATGAGGCATTAGACCTTTGGAAAAACAAGAAACCATGATCCAAAATATGATGTGTACTGTTTTAGATGCTATCATATGATAAAGGGAAATATGAACAGAGTAGAAGAGATGGAACACAGAACCAGTGAAATAAAAGAATTGTCACCACTGAGCTGCTAGAGCAAAGAGCAGAATAAAAAAGGAAGGAAAGAGAAGAAAACCTAAGAATAATGTGGGACACCATCAAGAGAAAGAATTTGTGCATTGTTGGAATCCCAGAACAGGAAGAAGCAAATAAAGGCACACACACACACACACACACACACACACACACACAAATTGTGGAAGAATTACTAGAAGAAAACTTCTCAGGACTAATGAAGAATGAGAGGATATATATTCAAGAAGCTGAGAGAACACCATATAGAATAGACACCAAAAGAAAAACACCAAGGCGTATCATAGTCAAATTTTCCAGTACCAAAGATAAGGAGAGAATTCTGAAAGCAGAGGGAGAAACAAAGATTAAACTATAAGGGAGAACAGATAAGATTAAGTTTTAATTGTTTTTGGTAAAACATTCTTCTAAGTGGTATAGCACTGGTGTGTCTATTTGCTATACAGAGGTAATCTTGTGGTTGCTGTGTTGCTCAACACTGTGACACTGATGTATCAAATGTGATAATGGTTACCCATGGTGGACAGTGTTTGGTGGAGCTCCCCAATTAAACAAGCTTGGAAGCAGGAGTGGCATCCACTTCTGA